AACGTGAAAAACTTTCGTTGGACGAATTTTCTTGTAAACTTCATATTTACTGAGATATCGCACTTTGACGCACTAATGAGCAACCCTGTATAATGCTTGGGGTGATGAAATACAAAAAATCGTTTTTTGTTCAACGGACAACACGCGGAACTTACACCAATTTTGCATCGTTTCATTTGCCTCATTGTACAAACTTTATCTTACGCACGAATTTTTTGCAAAAACACGCACGAATTTTTTGCAAAAACACGAACTAATCGCGAAAGAATTGCACTGAATAGCGCTTCAGGCAGAAATCAAATCGCTCTAGGCAGTCAGAATTTATTAATTTCCAAAATTGGTCGAAATTTGTCGGTGAGAGGTCTATTTTGTTGAACAGGTTATTTAGAGTTTTTTCCAAAAAACAATTTGTGTGATTGTCAGACATTATTATCCATTTTCAGTGTTCAAGATCACATTTTCAAAATTAACTGCGATTTTTTGTTCAACAAGATGGTGGTTCAACACATATTACTTAATGCTTAATTTCCGATTCTCTTCAACAAAAATTTAAGGCTGCACGTAATAGATGTTTTTGAAACATTGAAATAAAAATGTCTATGTTTATAAGTTCGAAGCCAAATGTCCAATTCTATTGTTGCAATGTTGTTTAACTCCAATACCTTCTTGAACGGAAAATGAGCAATTTCAAATCTCCCGGTACATCATACATAATTTACATACTTTTCATTGTGAAAAACTGATACAATTTTAAAATTAGGTGAAGTTTTTTGTTTCTAAAAATGAGCCGAGGACCCAGCATCTAATTTAGTAATTTATTTTAGTTGCTTTTTCGTTTGTCACTGAACGTAATTACCATCTGAAACATTATTGTCAAAGTAATGTTGTGATGTCAAAGTAAAGGAAATTTACGTTAATCTAAAGGGGAAATTTCTTGGGGAAACGAAATTCAAGTACATGTGGTAAAATGGAACTTATATCTTCACCCAATCCTCATTTTATTCCCGGGTAAGTTTAGTTGTAAGTTTTATTGTATTGTTGTTTATTTTATCTTAGTTTAGATAGACTCAATCAATTATATGAATATCAACTAATATTTGTACTAAATATAACGTTAAATTAAGCGTAATAAGATGTCCATGAAAATAAAAGACTCAATTAGCCTACATAAATATGAGATCAGTAGATTCTCATAATTATTTCAATTTTCTGTAGTTTGCTTAAAACATTATCAAAGAAATCGAATCAAGCGAGTTAAAAATATGTTCTTTTTCTGATATTATCCGAGATGGGTTGCAGAGTCGCTAACTTTTAAAATGATTAGTCATTAGTGGCCGCCAAATATCGAAGTTGTAAGCATCAAACATTTATTACTTAATATAGGAATAACATCTGATAACACGATCATACACAACGTGGTTAAATTGCAATAAAAATCTGAATGTTGAAAATATTAGACATTAGATGATCATCTTTTATCGCAAACAGTACTCGTTATAAGATCGGTAGTTAGCTGAAAACAGTACTGGCTTTTACTATCTAATATTTATGGATAACAATTATTTCAGAATTTGATTCAAACACTGGTGGAGCAGTAAGTTTTACATTAATTGTTATTTTTACTACTAAATTTGATTAGATGCAAGTAAAACAGCGCTTGGTTCCGATTCTTACAAGGAAAACACGGACTTTTCTTGTTAGGTTGTGGAAACATCATACAATTATACACGGAAATTCCTGGTATTGTAAAAGCAAAGGAAAAATCCAAAAGAAAGCATGAATACACAATTAAGAAAACTTTTATTGCTATTGCAAGCTCCTGAATCAAAATTCACATGCTGAAAATCGCTGAAAATGATAATTTGCGATTGGCACCAATTTTACCAGATCACCAGACCAATACTCAGAATAACAAAATAGTTCTAAACATTTTCAACCCCGTAATATGGATCTTTCCAACTTCTTACCTTTAAACGTTTTAAATGATGTATTTGTAAAATTATCAGTTAAATGCACGCGTCCAATTAAAACCCCTATTTAACATGACATCTTTAGCTTTCGCACCTAATAATTAAGAATGTACGAATAGCGAAAAAACTTTTATCTTGACAATTATATGTATTTTATTTGTTATATTGTATATACAGTTGGCGACACATAAAAGTAGACTCCAAAAGGCGATTTTTCCCTATTTTGGTAAATAAGGCTTTGTGAAATACGTCAAATATATGTACAATGTATGTCACAAACTTGTTTTAATTTGTATTAATCAATTTTAATTTAATCAATTAATTTACAATTCTATAAATCGTGCTCTTCGGTTTTCCAAATCTCTCAGCTTCTGTTTTTGTTAACCATCCTTCCTCGATTAATCTAATTATTCGAGTTTTTTTTAAATATTTTTGAATGTGTCCTTTTAATAATAGGAAAATGTATTTGTCAGTATTATCGCCTTAGTCATTTACGCAAAGGTAGATTGAGGTGGAAAGTCAGATTTACCCTACTATTTAACAACTAATATTACTATTTAACAAAACAACTATTTAATCGCCTACTTGACGTGTTTCACAAAGCCTGATTTACCAAAATCTGTTTGTGTTAATAGAAGTAGAAGTAGTTTGTAGGTTCAGGGATATTGATTGAAGTTTGGCCACCCCGTTTTAACATCTAATTTGAAATTTAGAGACTTATCTTAAATGCAAAAGTTGTAGATATAAACCTCTAGTTTATTTTGAGATAGTACCATTTGATACAGAGAGTTCCAAGTTCAAGTAACAGACCAAACTTACCTTTTTTTGAAAATGATATGTCGTACTTTTTATTGCATATTCGAGCTAATTTATATTTTTAATATATTTTTTTTATATATTTTACAATATCCAATAATACATGACTTCTTATGGGAAAAGACAAAATTTAAACTTTGACCTTTAATCGAGATACCTCAAAATTATCATATTTATCAAAAATTATCATTTTTTAAATCCCTTCTTAATTGACTCGTCCAGAGGCCGTTTTATGCAAAAATATCCAACTGGATTGGCTACATCCGATAATGGAGAGTTCGTTAAGTTTAATCGCTATTGGTTATTAACTCAAAAACAGTTGAAAATGAATACAGAAAATTTAAAAACTAAGATTAACATTTTACGAATAGCTCGAAAACGCAATAAAAAGTACAGCATTCAATTTAAATTAGGGATGGGAGAAAAACATCGATGTAATTTGTTCGACGTTCGATATTTTTACCATCGATGTTGGAAATTTGGGACATCGATAAAACATCGATGTTAGATCCTGAAAAAAAAACATCGGACATTTGATGTTGATACTAGATAGAAACATTTTCTGCGAACTCTTTGATAGTGCCGATACAAACGATACAGCGACATAGCGACCCATTTGTAGTTGCACCCAAAAAAAGCCTCTTCTTGCAGTCAGTTGACCGAAAAATGTGGCAACTATAAGTTGAATACATTTAGCCGATTATTTAACAATGCATTGTTTTAAAATGTCATAGTAGCAGTTAAATAAAATTATTTAAGTTTAAGTTAATCAATTTGAAATTTGAACATCGTTGCTGCCAAACATCGATGTTATAGGATCGATGTCCCATCCCAAATTTAAATTAAAAAAATTAAATATTAGTTTGCTCGGCCACTTTAATTTCAGACACCCTGTATCAATTGATATTATCTTAAAATAAACTAGACGTTAATATCTACAGCTTTTGTGTTTAACATTTTTCTCTAAATTTCAAATTAGATGCAAAAACAGGGTGGCCAAAGTTCAATCAATAACTCTGTATATACATTCTTCTATTAAGACAAACATATTTCTAAATAAAGCATTCCTTAAAGGTACACTGGATTTTGCCCCCAATATAAATACCGTATTGGGAATACGTATGGGACTACGACGCACAAAGTACTTTTAGATCCAACGGTACACCATGCGGAGAAACTTGTATTATCTGATAGGAGCGCAGATGATTATAAAGTGAAGTTTTCATATACCGAATGATTACTTAAATTAGTGTAAGATTTTTCTTTCAGACATTTCGTCCATCAGTCCGGGACATTGATATCGTTAACGAAAGACAGGGAGACACAATTTACAGACATCCTATGGTTCCCGGATATGAAGGTTCAATCATTTTTTCCAACCAGGTGATTTAATTTTATATGAGATTTTGAATTTTGTAGGATTTGTTCCAAGGGAGCATGCCGAATTCGGCCAACGATATACTGTTCAAGCGACAGAAGCATTATCAGATTTCGAGAGACTTCAGAATGAAAATAAAGCAGCTATGAATGAAATTATTAAAATTGGGTTTCTTCAGGACAATAAATGGGATCCAAAGACATTGGAAGATAAAGAGGTAAGCTTCAGAAATTTAATTATATTTAAACGTTTCAAAAAATTGTATTACCTTATAACCTACCTATTAACTTTTTTACCAATGTCCTAAAAACTTATAATGCGCTAATTTGAACTAACTGTAATAAGCCATGAGTTTAAATATTAGAAATGATAGGTTCAAATAGGCGTGGGTAAGTCAGTGAATTTTCAGGAGTTGGCCCAGTGATGCCGAAATGGCTTGATGCGTCAACACAACGCTCCGGTGAAGTAGCGTTGTAGTCACCCATTTGATAAAACGTTAATAATAAAGAATTGAGTGATCTTTTTTTGTTAAGTGTTAAAATTCCAGTCCCGGGCCTCGTAAAGCTTTAATTCGCCCCTGGGTTAAATGCGGCACAGTGAGACGCGATTAGTTAGAGAACGACAAATAATTTCCAAGTTCAGAGTTTTGCTCTCAGTAAAGAAGAGTGCGCTCTAAATGCCGTCAAAATTTCGAATCGTTAAGAAAAACTTTGCAGTATTTCTATGAACCATTGCGGGAGACATTTTGAATTGACTTTTTCGAAACAAATTTCTCAGAATCGAAAAAGACTCTAAAAGTTCAGAGCTGTGTGTCCAGTAAAGAACAGTGCGCTCTAAAAGTGAAATTTTAAAATTTCACTCATTGGTAAGAAAATTTTGCATATGATTTGAAAAAGCTGTTGCGGGACACATTTTGCATCGCGTTTTTCGAGTATGAATTTCTTAGAATCGAACAATAATCTACAAGTTCAGAGTTGTGTGTTCAGAAAAGAATAGTGCGCTCTAAATGTCGTCAAAATTTCATCAAACATTCATACAAATCACATAAAATCCTGAATTTTGCTCGCTTCTTAAATGTTGATTTGAAAATGAATGAAAGTTTTTACGCAACTGCATACTCTTCAATAAAAAATTCTTGCCAACTTCCAAGTAAAGCCAGTAGAAACTTGAAAGATTGACATTTTGTAGAAGCGGTTATTTTAAATGACAGCAAAAAGTTGCACCTAAATGTTTGATATTCAAATTGCGTGTGACTTTTTGTGACAAAACTACCAAAATTTACTCACGCATGTTGTTATAACTGAATCGAATTACAAATTCTCTATCCAATGAAATAAAAAGTAACCCTGTGGCTCAGTAAGCTTATGCCTCTTGAATTGGATACTGGAACCCAAATTTCCGTAACTGACGCGTTTCTTTACCCAAAAGTTGCAGATAAGCTTGATTCAAAAATACAAAGCCGCCCAAAATATTTCCAAAGTTTAAAAATCAACTACCCAAAAATAGCTCAATGGATATCAAATCCACGCCCCAAGTCGATGCGTATGGGACTAAAAGTTTCATATGTATATGGCAACCGGGGGCAAAGTAATGCTAAGCTCACCGAAAGCTGCGTATTGCCACATGGAATAAAAGAAGAAAATATGTTTAGTACAGCTGGAAATCTGTTCAAAACCAGACTTATCAGCATCAAATCAGCAAAGCAAAGAGAAAAAAATCCATAACATTTCAGTTCAAGCTAAAATATTAAGGCCCGTTTGCACCGTTGAAAATAAGTTTGGCTTTGCCATTAAGCTCAGTTTTAAAATAAAATTGGTTGGCACCACATTATAAACCAGGCTTACAGCATTCAAAGCTCGGCTTTAATTAAATTAAAAGCCGTCAACTTTCGTGGCTTATGGTGTTCAGCCGTAAATTCTAACCTTTGTTTTCCTTCCTCAAACATGTAGCGATAGTTAACAAAATTGGAAATTACGATAACAAACAAAAAGAATGGATATTAAAACAAAAACTCAAAGATGATCTAGAGATCTTTGAGATAATCGAATTTGGATTTCCAAAGACGATATATAACAGAAATAATCCATTGGAGGACTTGGAGCAACTACTAACTTTTAAAAAAATATTTGGGTTCTACAAAACCACCACAAATATAAATGAATTAGATTATTTAATTGATATTGGTCTATTGCAAAAATTATTTCCAAAAGTTGCGTTAAAATTTTAGTAAGAACAAAGTCAAATTTTAAAACCTATATAAAATTCTTCATAAAAATCTAAAATACCTATATAAAATACCTATATATGTATAAAATGAAAAATGGTTAAAAAACATATGTATTTAAAATATGAACGATGGGTTGGACAACACTCTAAACGCAAGGTTCCTAAATTGTACAATTTAGGAACCTATTCTTAACGTCCACGTTCTAAACTGCGGTTAATTCCTTGATCTATATTCTCAATCCCCAAAGTTCTAATATAAAGATAGATACAATAAATTGTATCATGGCAGCAAACGGTCATAATGCCACATATGGCAAATAGATCTGCTTGACACCGGCTTAACAAAGGCTTACTTTAAAGCCGAGCTTAATTTTTAAGGTTGGTTTATGTAAGCTTGGCTTTTATTTAAAACGGTGCAAACGGCCCTTATAGATTAAAGATCATTATTACCAGCTTTCTGCAAGCTGGGGCGCCATCCTACATTTTCTACCCATTAATCCTTAAGAAGCTTACTACACTTTGACAAACTATCGCACTTGCCATAACGTCCACAATTATTCTATATTTCTCATCTAAGAAGGCGATTTACACGACACAAAGGATCATCGATCGATTACGCCCTCTGACGGTAGCAAACTGAACATTCAAAAACTTTTTCGATAAAAAAGACACTGATCTACAGAATAAACCTGATCATTTAATGATTGATATATAATTCAATAATCATATAATTGTTTGCCCTTTCGATGATCCATGCTTTACTTGGCAGAATTTTATTGATTAATTTAAAAGTTTGCTTTTTAAAAGCAAGATATTTTCAAATTAATGTAAACAATACATATTTTATTTGTAGCAGAATCTTAACTATGACTTATGACTCTTAGACCGTAAATCTTAAGACTGACTATCTTTAGACCGAGACTATCTGAGACTCAATTCTTATGACTTCTGACCAAACATCTAATGGCTGAATGCTCGTTTCTGCTGAGGCTTCTTTTATAGTTAAATCATGCTGATCATAGCACAAACAATACTACGTTTTATTTTACAATAATAGTCGGCATAAATGACTATATAATTGCAGTTCGATTTCAGTTTGTTTATTCTTAAAAGTAATTATTAAAGAAAAATTTCACAGTCCAACTTAACGAAAATCAACGACAACTAAACGAAAAACGCCCCAAGCACCGATCTTTCACTTATTTAACTTTAAATTTAAAGCCATTTATATTTGTCTGAATTTCATTCATCTGCAGTGATTAATGCAAAACGCCAAAACAGAAATTAATAACCGAATTTATTTTGTGTTTCTAAAAATATTGACTAAACAAAAAACCGCAAAGAAATCACTTAAAAATAAATTGCTGAATTTCCGAGCGATGATAGAAGCCAGCAAAATTCCAACTAACTAAAAATGTCCTTTAAAAGTTCTGATTACAAGAATTATTCCGCCACAAGCGCAATTCGATGTGCGATAACATAACTCACGGACTCACAGAGCGGCATCAACTCAAAAGCGCAACTCAACACAGTGTTACCCAGGCATATAGTTTTTCATGTCTTCTATCGTACTTAAAGGCATTTCCTGCATAAAGAGTGCCTTTCTTTGGAAATGTGTCAGTTTAAAAAGATATACTTATGTGGATTCAGTACAGTTGGTATTTTCTGCGTTCAGAAGTTGTAGTGTATTGGATATTTTCACATAACATTTGATTAGTTTTGCTGTAAAGAGAAGCGTTTTGAGAACATAAACTTTGACACCAGTTTTCAATCAGATTGGCACCATGCTCATTCTGTCGATGTGCATCTTTTATTATTTTTATCTATACTAATTGCTTCTCTGTACTTTTCGGCACTCTAGGGTTGACATTTTTAGCTTTTCAGAATAGGTATAACAAAAACTTAACTTCCATGGACATAGTTCTACTCAGATAATCAGTATAGAAACACCTGGAGTTTAAAGCAGAAGAGGTGTGAAGATATTTTTAAATTGTTAAAATTAAATCAGAAAAAGCTGACCGTATAGCTTATTAGCATGCGCGATCTTAGACTCAAAGCTTTATTTCAGAGGAACCAGTTCTGGTCGGAAATGTTGCAAAACTGTCTAAACACCATTGCAACATAATTCCCATAAGCACATGATCAAAAGGATATTGCGATTTTCTTTGCATCAAAAGAAGACTATCTGACCTAATTTTTATTAACAAATAGTGGATATCCACGCCACTTGTTCTAGTTCGTAGTAATTTTAGTGCGAATCTGCTGGGCCAATCATAAATTTTGACCAAATCACTTTTGTTCCTTTATGTACCTGTGCAAGGGCTGATGCATCTTCCTAGTATTCTAGTACAAAACCATTTAATTCAGTTTTTGGGCCTGATTTTTATATACTTAATCTAGTTTTGGAACAATTTTCACTTCTACGAAAAAACCGTTTCATGGTTTTGTATGAATTCGCATTAGGTAATCACATTAAAGAAAATATCGGAGACGGCATTTAACGCTGTTACCGATATTTTCTGTTCTTTGAATATTGCTATTTGCCGAAACATGGTAGCATGAATTCAAAAAATCATCAGGTACGTACCCATACATACAACACCTTACCACTTCATGAGAATAAACTGCACTACAACTTACACTACAACTCAGCTTACACTCAACCAATTGACAAAGCAATGGGGAATCAAAAGGCAGGTATTTGGCTTTTTGCATTGTTGAAATATCGAAATCGCAGATGTTATAGTTATAGTACTGGGACCAACATCGTATGCGAGCTCTGTTATTTTAAACCACATGTTATGTTAAATATCGGTAACAGGTACCGACTGTTCCACATCGATATCTGTTCCAAAATATCTGTGACGAGTATTTCGTGTCATCCCGAGAAAACGCGGAATGTACAGGGTATCAGGACCAAACTCGTGGAAGTTATCAGCGAAATACAGAAAATGGACATGTACATAATCTTATCTGAGACCAAAAATAAAAGATCAGGAACCGAAGAAATTGACAACTATATTAATCATATATCAATACTGTTTAAATAAATATACAGTGGAGGGACGAAAGAAGATAGAGCCAAACGAGGAATATCAATATTGATAAAAAAATATATAAAAGTGACATAACAAATCTATACGACAAATAATAAACGTCTAAAAACGATAGATAACTACTACACAAAATTACAACAAATTCTGGACGAAATAGGAGATAGGACAGAAGTAAATAATGATTGGCGATTTTAATGGAAGAGCTGGAAGCAAAATGAATGATGTCAGGGCGGACGTTATGGCGAAGAACAAACTAACGAAAATGGAAAGCGGCTGATCGAACTATGCTAAAATAATATGCTAAGAATTGCAAACGGCTTTTTTGAACATAAGGACAATCATAAATATACCTGGACTCAACCCATAAGACAGTTAAAATCAATAATATATTACATTATAACACGCCAACAAACTCAACTTCAAGTGCAAGACGTAATAGTAAGAAAAGGTGTAGACTGTGGCTCAGACCACCACTTGCTACGTGCAAAAATAGCATTCCCGTATAAAGCCTGGAACTAGACTCCAAAACGGCCCACCTAAGAAAACAAAATTGAGATGGCTATAATAGAATCACGATTGTATAACATAGAGGGACTTAAGGAAGATAGTATAAGAACGCTGTATTAGCAAATATTAGGCAAACAACTCTTGGATATGTAAAAGCAACCTGTACCACCATTTAAAAGAAGCAATATATTAAGCGGCAACTGAAGCTTTAGGAACCAGGGAACAAACGCAACTTTGAAAGAAATGGTGATGGGATAAAAGTCCAGAAAGGGAAGTAAATCATTTACATTCGTACATTTGAAATGGATAAGCACAAAGGCCAGTGAAGATCGAAAAAGGTACGTAGAAGCGAGATATAGAGTAAGGAAATTAATAAGGTAACAAAAAGAAAAGAGCTGGGATCAAAAATGTAATGAAGTTGATATGTATATTGGTGGTAGAAGATGTAACGAAGCCTGGAGATTCATAGAAAATGTCAGATCTGAGGAAAGCAGCAACTTTCAACTTATTTCTGTTGATAAATGGGAGTAATACTACAAAAAAACTGCTTACCGAAAATAAACCCTGTAAGAAACTTGTAGAAATATCTTTAGAAGACATAAAAGGCGGAATACAAAATTTAAGGAGAGGGAAGGCAAACGGCCCAGGAGGCATTAAATAAAGCTGAACTAATAGAAAACGGGACAGATAAGCTGTTTAACGTGATTAATTAACTGTTAGATGCATAAACGACGAACCGGTCCCAGAAGAATGGAAAACCGGTTTTATGTCATCAATTTCCAAAAAAGGAGATAGGGAGAATAGAGGCGCATAACAGTAACATCCACATTTAGCAGATTGTATGGTAAAATATTATGAGACTCAATTGAGACGGAATACGAAGGGCAGGAGGCATAAGAACAAAGTGATATTCGCACAGGCAGATCATGCATGGATAATACATTTGTCATCAAGCAGATCATCGAGAAGAAAATTACGACCAATAGAGAAATCCATCTACTCTTTATAGACCTTGAGAAAGCATCCCTATATCTAAACTATGGAGGGTCCTTGAGGAAACAAAAATCAACTATAGAGGCGGCAAAACTAAAATAAAAATTGGAAATAGAATATATATAGAATATGTATTATCCAGCTGGAAGCAAAAGTGTAGGGGAATGGGACCAATTTTTACAATTTGTGCTCTATCGGTTAAATAGCTTTTTGGTAACATAAGACTACCTCTGATGCCATATTTTCCCAACCTAGCTAGCAGTTTACTATGGTGTACCGTATCAAAAGCCTTGGCCAAATCAAGCATATTTGCGATAGTAGGCAAACTATTAATAATATTATTATACATGTAGTTCGGAATCCAAACTGATTGTCTAATAAAACTTTGCATTCATTAAGGAAATTAGTTAACCTCTCAGGGATAATTTTTTCTAACAATTTGGCAATACATATTGGATATCCACGATATACTGGGTGGTCCTCAACTAATGTCGAAAAATTCACTGACATATTGTTTAGGCCTAAATATTGCGTTTCAGGCAAATTTGTCGTATGCGAAAGTTAATAGATTACGAGATACAGAGTGTCAAAGTGTAAATAAAAATTTAGTTATTTCTGAATAGATTTCTCCTCGCTCTTTGTTGGCGTGAGTTCTTTCAGCTTCTGCTACGTTATTGTAGACTCTCCCCTGAACTAATCGCATATCAGCAAATTCGTGAAAGGAAATTCAAAGTAAGTCACAGTTTGACAAATGATTGTTATTATTGACAAGGGCTATCCACCTGTAACTATATGTTAATGACAAAAAACATCATTGCCGCTGTGCCTTTTCATCAAAAAATTGTAGAAAAAAACTTTTTTTATATCAAATCTTTTCGTAATTTGAAGCAAAGATCGTAATTTTTCTTTTTGAATGCTTAAGTATTCCAATAGGCTGCAAATCCAATGTGGGCTTTTTTCAAAATAATGCTTAATAACAAAGTTGAAATTCGATCTTCAACTGTTAATATCTTCTAGAAATTTTCGAAAACAATGTTTTCCATATTTTTCTGGTACTCCCCAAGAGAGCCTCTATCACCCCTTAAAAGAAATGACGCCAATTTTGAATCACCCTGCAGTTCTGAACGTGCCTAAATAAATTATGTCTAATGTTTGTTAAGTTTTGTTTGATAGACAATTTGCGCCAAACATTTCTTTTATTTAGAGATCCAATTAGTTCAATATTTTATTTGGATATCCAATTTGAGATAAATATCCAATTAGCTGAAAATTTTTTTAGATTTTTCAATGTGAAATATCTCGAAAACGGTTAGAGATAGCGACTTCGAACAAGTACACATTTTTTAGAAAATATCGTAGAATGTGATTTTACCGACGATTTTTGAAGAGCCAAAGAAGGTGTGATGTCTTGAATGGCTCCAGACTATTGCAGATAGCGCCCTCTAGAAACTATAAGACAACCAATAGGGAATTTGGATTTGCCGATCTAAAAAACCCCCAAACACAAATTTTAGTGGTACTAGTAAAACTGGTTCAAAATCTTTTCAGAAGAAACGACATTTTTATTTACACTTTGACACTCTGTATCTCGGAATCTATTAACTTCCGGATAAGACAAATTTGCCTGAAACGCAATATTTTGGTCTAAACAATATGTCAGCTAATTTTTGGACATTAGTTGAGGACCACCCTGTATATTCAGTAAAATATGCCTATTTAGGTCTTAGGTATCTTTTACAACTTTTTACTATCTATTTAGCAATCTTTTACTGATTATCATCACGGTCACTAACTAACCACGATATTATATCAGTATATATTATTTATTTATTGTATGTATGCATTATGGTTCCAATTTGTATGTTAAGACAACGCGTCGGAGGTTGGATTAAAAAACCTTTAATATTTGAAAACTAGGTAACGTTAATATCCTATTATCAATGATAAAACGTCGTTATATCACCAAGTTGATTAAAAAATGATTAATGGAAAACCTGATTATAACTCAAAATGCACTAATATTGGTTTAACAAGCAAGTGGTATTGTTTGATAGAACTGTAGGTTCAGTAATTCTAAAATGGATCTTTTAGCAGTTTTCAAAAAGAAAATCATTTAAATGCCCGCATTTTTTGTCAACATGAGTTGCCCTACGGAAATTAAAATTGTATCTGCTTTATTTTCAGTTAACACAAAGTGAGTTCAAGCTACCATTGCTTGAAGTTCGACCAGAATGCGGGGGTTTGTTAAGAAATGTTCCCGTGACCGAACCACCGTTGACTCCTCCAACTAACTCAGTCAGTCCATATTTTTCTGATAACATTGATCCAGAAAAGTACTTGAAATCAGGTAAACTTATCAATTAATTATCATAGTTTCACATTTTTTAAATACGACTTTTATTTTAAAAACGCACAACAAGTTTTACAGCGAAACCGAGTTACAAAATAAAGTATAACTCACAAATATTTCAATTATCGTTAAATATCCGATCAAAATCGAGTTGATTCAGATTTCGCATATGTGTTTAATGTATTTTAATTGGGAAGTTTAGAGTTAATAAAAATGGTTAAATTGCGCCGAATCCATCAATCAAATAGCATAAAAATATTTTGATATTGTAGAATCGTCATTAAATTTATGACTGTTTTTCGACATATCCAGACAAAGCCCATCTGTCTTCTTCACACTTCTGCCATAATAGGTGTGCCAATTCTATATCGCAGCTTGATGCTAAGGTAAAGTTGATTGAATGGTAGAGATGTAGACTTCCTTCAAACTATTATTTCGAGATCAACTAAAATTTGTGTAAACGCTTTCATGATTTTCCATATGCTCCAAGTTAGTGCTCGTTTCTATCAAATTCAACATACTCTTTATCGTTGCTTATGATTACAGCCTTTTGACTCTTTGCCTTGAGGAATCAGATGTTCAGTTGCAGCCATTTTCATTCCTTCGAAAAATTTCATTTTGTCTAAATATGGAGGAGGATCAATTTCCTTGGTATAAAACAGACTGGTTCTCCTGAAGTCTCCCCAAAGGACGTACCTACACTTTAATCATATTCAGTCATTAGTGTGATACATTTTCAGTTTTATTATAAAGAGCACATGTTAAAAACTAACCGTACGCTGTAACACTGCCATGTGTCTAAACGCATATTATCCTGGATTCATAAAGCATTTTTAGAGTTATAATTTATCTAGATAGACATTTGCCTAAATTTTGCAATGTTTTAATTGTAAGGTTTCGCTATACTAAAGATTACCAAATGGCCATGAAATGTCTTTAAAATCTTGTTTAATAGCATGGATGGAATTGCATTTTGAAGAGCTGATATCTTCGGGAAATAAGGTCAACAGTAAAAATAATTAAGTATTATCCAACTATGCGCTAGTGACCCTTTAAAAAAATTTACGCCAAGTTTGAATCCCCCTGTAATTCTCCGTTTACATGCCATTCTGAAGTTTTTGTGTCAAAATGTTACGGTGGTTTTATTCCTCAAAAAATATATAGATAATATATATTTTAATTCATAAACTTAGGTAGTGTTTCGGTCAAAATGTACGATCGATTATATAATTCGTTTGCTCAGCAACAAAGATACGTGAAAGGATGTGGGAAAAGTAAGAAACGATATTTGAAAATTCCACTTTATTTTTTTTATTTGCTGATCGTTTTATAAGTCCGACATCGTTAATTGGCGTTACAGATTGGTATGGCTTTAACGTGACGGAACTTAAATAACTATTGGAATCGCTCGGGAATGGTATACCTATTGAAAATATCGTTAAGTTTGTTTTAATTTTGCGTCAGGCTCAAAGTTACGAATATTTGCTTGCGCCGCGCTGTTCGACACTTCAACTATCATTTGGTATTTTTTCATTGTTAAATAATTCATTTAAAATTAACTTGTTTTTTGCCTACTTTTTTGTACTTTCGAGCATTTTAAAGCGAACATTTCAAATCTACGGATATCGGAGCAACTCTATATCATAAAAAAATTCATAACGAACAAATTTATAAATATAAAATTTTTCTACAAAATGCATACAAGATTGGAAGAAGCTCGTGTTGAACCTACATACAAAATTGTTCAGTAATTCCGTATTTATTAAAAATATTTTTTCCTCAAAAACCGTTCTGTTTATCGATATATTCAAGAATGTTTTTTTTAGTTTATGGTTAGTTATACCTAAATAGATTATTTTCGTGTTTCCATTGAAAAGGGTAAAAAATAACTATTATAGTGCTCCACCTAGTCCATTCCTGGCAAACCGAAATGCAATTTTTTTTCACGGGTCCTTTTTAAGATCAATGATGTACTGAAACTAACGGGTTTTTCGGGTTTTTAGGCCGTCGTTGGGTCGGCCTAAAAAACCCGAAAAACCCATTAGTTTCAAGGAATGGCCTAGAAAGTCTATCTCTTTTGACAACAATGATGTACTGTTCATGGTGTGAAAAAATAATTAATTACATAACGTATTTTAAAAGTTATTAAAAAAATCGATTCTCAGGTGGCTCCTTTAGAGGCCTGCATCTCCGTAGAGGGCCTCTTAGCAATTTTCTTATAGAAACTTGTTATGTTTTTTAACGTGATCATAATCGGTTCTAGTTAATAATCTTGATCTGGGGTGCTTTGAAACTAAGGGGTAGGGACATGTTATTTTTCGAGGCTGTTTTAATGGTCCTTCTAGGATTCTTTAAAATGTTAGTTGTAGTTTAACAAATTGAAATCAGTTTAATGCGTTACTTTGCTTTCGCTTAAATTAGTCGGGCAAGCCCAATAAATTAAAATATATTTTTTATGTTGTGTGTGTTTTAGCCATAGGAGGGTTTAACTCGGATTCCGCGGAACAACCGACATATCCCGTTAAAAGCTCGAATAAATTAAAATAAATTGCTTTGCTTTATGTTTAACTTTTAGCATACATACAGGGTGATTAAAAATGGAGGTAATTCCTCTATAGTTGTTACCTGAAGGTGTATGTGAATGTAGGGGTACAGAAAAAATACCTTGTATCATAATCTATATACGTTTTGGTATAATAAGCCCCAAGTACACGGCCACGTGTATCATATCGTTTAAAATGTCTATCTACACCGGTAAAAATTAATCTAGTTAATTTAAATTAGCTTTAACACATTTTCAAATATCTATTATAAATATTACCACGCCTATTAATATCTTAATAACATAAGAATGATCGAATAGGGGGTTTGGGACTGGGCAATCCAAACATACTTAAGTTATAATATTTTTTCTTTCCTGGGTTTCAGTCAAAATGTGAAATAAAAATGTTCATATGGTTAAACCAAGAAAGAAAAAATATAATAACAATTACACGCAGCCAGGAAAATAAATCAAAATACTTATTAAGTTTTGGAGACGCTACCGGACACGTAAAATAATGCACATCTTTCAAGAAATGATGAAAATTGCCTTTCAGGATTTACCGGACATGTTCCATTTGGTTTCGCATCTTTTGGAAAAACTAACGAGGCAATGACGAATAGTAATCTTTGCGACTTTACATCCAATTACCGGAAGAGATTGAGCAATGAATGGGCACCTGTCGAAATAGATAGACCAGATCCTCCGGTCTTGATGCAGCCAGCCGATATATATCATAAGCATATGGGCCAATTACCCAATTATGGTGGACACATACCAGGAGCAATATTTAGGTAAGATATATTTAATAAAATATTCTAAAACATTTCGAACATATGTAAAATCTATTGATCAAAGCAATGCACAAAAACCGCACACTACGTAATTAAATTTCTTTCTATTAATTATTCTTAACTATTAGTATCTCAGTATAGCAGTTGATATAACTGAAAATGTGGTTAACGACTTAGAAATAGCATCTATAATTTAAATCTTTCCTTGATTTGCAATTAAGGTAAAATATATTTACTTATTTTTATTAAGGTTACTGTTTCTTTAATAATTACCACTGAAGCGTGCTGGTAAACGCCGTGTCGAAATGTCGTCACCATAATCGACAAAGCACATATTTTAATAGCAACCGAATTGCATTTTATAATAAATAATCTATCAATGTATCTTTTAGATATGGAAAAACCTATGGCAATGATTCTCGAGATGCAAAAAGATGGCTCAGAGGTGATTTCAGTAACTAAAACTTTTAAAAATACTAAATTTTATGCCATTTTTTTCTTGTATACGTTATGTAATATGCTTGCGAATATTGATCGAAATAATCTTATGGGGCAAAATTTTTCATGAAATACATATATTGAACTTGTTAGTAGTTCTTTATTGTTCGTTCTATACACATTCTTGCAATGAATTGCTGCTTGAATTGCAACATTCTGCTTGAATAAATCAGAACCAAATAAAAAAATGGTGTGCGTCACGGGACGCTCGACGCAAGTGATAACTTCATATATTTATAGAAACCATAAAATATTGAACTTGTTTAACGCAATGATGGCAATAATAATTTTATTTTATAATTTAAATATTCTTGTTAGTCTAATAATTTATAAATGTATCAGGAATAGGTAAAATGTAATTTAATTTCCTTTTTAATGTAAAATATCTTTTTTATTTGCAACATTTAACATTCTTCAACGAGAGGTTGTACATATTGCTCTTCTTGGGTTTGTGTAAACTCTTCTTCATGAGTTTCTGTATTTTTTAGTCATAATTTCTTATTTGCTTTGTACAATCTTTGACGTTGAGCACTAGTTCGTGGTTTTGGTGGAATTGAAAATAAGCCCTAATAAATTCATTTTACATATTTTGCAACTATAAGCTGAAGAGAAATTTGCATCGTCTTAAAATCGAGAATGCGTTGCGTGATAGAAAATAAGAAGACGGAACCCACGTTTTCTGAAATAACCGAGGTAAACTCAAATATTTTATCAATAAAATTCAAAACATATTTATTATACAGGGTGATTCAAAATTGGCGTCATTCCTCTGGAGGTGTTGTCTGGCGCTGTTATAGGAGTACAGAAAAATAGTAAAATAAATTAATTGCTATTAACAATTGAGAAATTTTTAAAAAACTATATCAGAAATACGGCAGCAATGTTTTTCAAGGTAATCTGCCTAATTAACATTGCGCAAATACCTGTGGCTTCGTAATTATTTAAAACTCTGGTAACCATGGAATTATACACTGACAATAAGATAGACAAGGATAAACGGTAAATTCAGCAAGATTTGTTGACGAAATGTCAACCTGTTCTCATAACCTCGAATTCTGCGGGGTTTTGTGTTTACATAAATAATGCATACACCAAACATTTGAATGGTTAACTCCAAACAAGCTACTGCCTGTATAATCTCCTTATTATTCACTCTTATCAAGCAGCTTCTCGTATTCAGTTAATTAACTCGTGCTCCATTTGTATCTCCTTGTGCTGTGTGTATCGTATAAACGCCTTTCCTCGGTATTTACTTGGTGTTTGGGAAAGTGTGAGTTATTGTGCTCTGAGTGCCCCAGGAAGGCCCTGATTCGATTATGTCCAATACTTGTTCCTCTGTGTCTGGAACTCGAACATCGAGTGTCGTCCACTATCTTCCTGGAACACTCTCCTCGCCCTTTGTTGGCGTGAGTTCTTTCAGCTTCTGCTATGTTACTGTAGCATTTCACCTGAACTAATCGCATATCAGCAAATTCGTGAAAGGAAATTCAAAGTAAGTCACAGTTTGACAAATTATTGTTATTATTGACAAGGGCTATCCACCTGTAACTATCTGTTAATGACATAACACATCATTGCCGCTGTGCCTTTTCATCCAAACTTTGTAGAAGAGAACTTTTTTGATATCAAAAATTTTCGTAATTTAAAGCAAAGATCGTAATTTTTCTTTTTGTATGCATAAGTATTCCAATAGGCTGCCAATCCAACGTGGGATTTTTTCAAAATAATGCTTAATAACAAAGTTGAAATTCGATCTTCAACTATTAAAATCTTCTAGAAATTTCCGAAAACAATTTTTCAATATTTGTCTGGTACTCCCCAAGGGAGCCTCTATCACCCCTTAAAAGGAATGACGCCAATTTTGAATCACCCTGTATATTATTACAAAACAGTAATGATTATCATTTTATGTGAAATATGAAAGATTACAAAAGGGATATCTAAATATTGAGAATTTGTTGTTATAAGATAAAATAGCAAATAATAGAACATATTATTGCATTAAAAATTATTAATAATAGTTGTGATACTTTATTTGTACTTAATCTTGAGCGTTTTTCATAAATCACTAAACAGGTAGGTAGTAATATTTTACCGAATCGTGCAATACAATGCAAATGGACATCATCTGCGCAGCATCTGGACTACTACCGACGGAGAGTAAGACATAGGGAATCGGTACCGAGATTCTATCGATACGATTTAATTGAATTTAATCTTTTCTTGATACGCATTTGCGTCCGCGATCAATCAGGCGATTTAAAATAGGTAAAACAGTTTTCCAAAAACTTTATTGTAGTGGATCTTACGCATAATTTTGTGTGTCGAATCATCGATTGTTAGTTCTTAAAACAAAATTTAACAGTAAACGGCAATGGGCAATCTCATTTTCAAAAGTTTGTAATACATTTTTCTGCAAATTTATGGATGATCCGCATCCGTAATTGTGTGTGGACTTTAATTGGAAATTAAAAAGAACGCGAAACTCGAACAGGCATATAGTACATGAGCACCATAATCTAGTATTTGCAGTATCTGCAGCTTCTCCCTTGTTAATTTGTTATTAGCGTTATAAAATAAACTGCACCGAACACAATAATATCACACTCAATAATTGATAAATCAAAATCACTGTCAGTTTAATAACGCAATGTGTATTTGAAAACTATATTCGATCTACAGATGCACCCGCACTGAGGAAAAAATGTCGAATTCAAAGTGCATATGTGCGTCCCAAGTATCAGGCGCGAAGAAGCCGGAGTGGGAGCCGCCGNGCTCGCCGCGACCGAGAAAAATCGGTTCACCCTCCCATAAAAAGTTATCACTTCAAAAATATATTTTTTAAAACTTGAACAACATACTACAACTGTGCTGTTTTATACCAATATGCTAGTTTCTTCCTGACTTCCATTTCTGCAGGATAGCAGCTGCTTCCTCTAGGTTTTTATCTTGCTGCAAACAAAAATCAAAATTGGGATTATAATATTTCACACACACATATTGATTAGCAAATTAGTGTATCTGTACCGACGATTACAGTTGATTTAGATTTGATTATTATTTATTTACTTATTTAATTTACTTGCTCATTATCATATTATCATATTTTATCATGTATCATATTTAATCATTATTAATATACATAAAATATACAGGGTGATTCAAAATTGGCGTCATTCCTCTGGAAGTGTTGTCTGGCGCTGTTATAGGAGTACAGAAAAAATAGTAAAACAAATTAATTGTCATTAAAAACTGATAAATTTGCAAAAAACTATATCAGAAATACGGCAGCAATGTTTTTCAAGGTAATCTGCCTAATTAGCATTGCGCAAATACCTGTTGCTTCGTAATTATTTAAAACTCCGGTAACCATGGAATTATACAGACTGACAATAAGATAGACAAGGATCAACGGTAAATCCAACATGATTTGTTGACGAAATGTCAACCTGTTCTCATAACCTCGAATATCGGTGTTTAAAAATCATACAACACCAAACATTTGAATGGTTAACTCCAAACAAGCTAGTGCCTGTGTAATCTCCTTATTATCCACTATTATCAAGCAGCTTCTTTGTATTTTTGTATCTCCTTGTGCTGTGTGTATCGTACAAATGTGGTAGGAACGTAGCCCTCCTCGGTATTTATTTGGTGCCTGGGAAAGTGTCAGTGGTTGTGCAATGTTCTGAGTGCCCCTGAAAGGCTCTGCTGCAATTATGTCCAATACTTGTCCCTCTGTGTCTGAAACCCGAACATCTATTGTCGTCCACTATCTTCCTGGAACCACTCTCCTCGTCCTTTGTTGGCGTGAGTTCTTTCAGCTTGTGCTATGTAGTTTATACCATTTCCCCTGAACTAATCGCATATCCGCAAATTCGTAAAAGGGAATTCAAAGTAAGTCACAGTTTGACAAATTATTGTTATGATTGATAAGGGCTATTCACCTGTAACTATCAGTTAATGACAAAAAACATCATTGCCGCTGTGCCTTTTCATTAAAAAATTGTAGAAGAGAACTTTTTTTATATAAAAAATTTTCGTAATTTGAAGCAAAGATCGTAATTTTTCTTGTTGAATGCTTAAGTATTCCAATATGCTACACATTAAACATGGGACAATTTCAAAATAATGCTTAATAGCAAAGTTGAAATTCGATCTTCAACTGTTAATATCTTCTACAAATTTTCGAAAAAAAAATTTTCAATATTTTTCTCGTACTCCCCCAAGTAAGCCTCCATCACCCGTTAATATATAATTTTTGAGTCGCGTTTAGCTTGTCGTACTGAACAGACGTGTGAGCGAGAGCAGTGAATTCTTTATCATATTTTTTACCAAACATTCATACAAAACTACGTTTCTATAGAAATATTCCAAGAATTTATCCAATTTACAACAGTTAAAATTTGAAAAATTGAGTAAAATCAAACGACAAAACCACGGTAGATAATACCGTTGGTTTAAAGTAAATCATAAGTAATGAAGAGACGTTAGGTAATTCTCCCTTGGAAGGAGAAGGAATTGAAACAGACCCATACCCCGAAAAAATCCCTCCAAAAATTATCACTCGAAGCCAAAACAGTGCAAATGAATGGCAAATAGTATAGCCTAAAAAACGCCTTAGACAATCCGATAGTCCAACAGAAAACAGAAGAAATTCCTCATTTACAATCGAACAAGGAAATCGCTTCCAGCCACTGTCAACCCAACCAGATGAAGAAACACAACAAGAGCACAAACCACCTCACCTATCTTTATCCCGGACATAACGAACATAAATGTCTTTCTCAACGATTTAGGAGCGTTAAATCTCAAAGACTTTACCTACAAAACCATAAGCAATAACCAAATTAAACTAAACTCATTGTCAATAGATACTTATAGGAAAATAATTTACCACCTAAATGATACTAAAGCCTCTTATACATACCAATTAAAGCAAGAAAAAGCATATCGTATAGTTATCAGGAATTTACATCCCACAACATCTATTGAAGAGCTAAAAAATAACATTTAGCAACACGGACATCTTGTCAGAAATGTAATTAATGCAATACACAAAACCTAGAAAGGAATGTCTCTATTCTTTGTAGAC